GTGGGGCTGCCCCCTGGTGGCCACAGCTCCTTGGCGTCGCACTGGTCCCCGCCCCAGGGTGCGTGGACCTGGACATGGCCTTGGGAGCTTGAGGGCGCTCAGGGAGGGAAGCAGGCACGTGACCACGTTGTCTCGCGTGGACACAGTGGAAGCCCCTGGGGGAGTGGGGCCAAGGAGGCTGTGAACTCCCCTGCTGAATGTCCTCCCCTTCCTGCCCCCAGCACGATGGCCAGCCCTACTGCCACAAGCCCTGCTATGGAATACTCTTTGGACCCAAGGGTGAGTGTGGAGAGGGTCCGAAATGCAGGTGCCACCCTCGCCTACCCCACGCCCACCCCACGCCCCTGGTTGTTCCATTCCTCCCCACCCCAGCTGCCTCTCTCTGCAGGAGTGAACACCGGGGCTGTGGGCAGCTACATCTATGACAGGGACCCTGAAGGCCAAGCCCAGCCCTAGGACCGCAGCCCCCTCCATGGGGCACGGGCCCATCTGCCTCCTGCTGGACCCTGCCCTGGGGCACACTATGCTTGGCTGTGTGGGGGAGATGGACCAGCTGCCCAGTCCCACCCCAGCGTGCCTACCTGAAAGTGCAGGGCCTGCGCGTTGGACAAGGCTGCTGCAGCAGGGGGCAGTCTCCAGACAAGCCCCGATGCCCACCCCTGTGTCTTTGTTTCTTTGAGTGTGTCTGCCTCTCTCTCTGGATTCTCCCTGTGTCCCAGCCTATTTTTTGTGTCCATGTGCCTACGTGTCCGTGTGTCTGTGTCCATGTCTCCGTGTCCCCATGTGTCTGAGTCCTTGCGTTTCTTTGTATCCCAGCATTTCTGTGCTGGTCTCCCTGTCCCCGCATGTCCCTGCGTGTCCCATGTCCCTGGTGGGTCTCCAAGGTAGCCGTTCCACTTTCCCTCTCCTGCTGCCCCATGCCTGCCCTACTAGTGTTATTTATGCTCCCCTTGCTGGTGACAGCCACACCCCTCACAGTGTCCCCACAGCAGAGGGCATTCCTGCCAGGAGTCCTCTTCCCGGCTCCCACACCGCCTCGCCAGCACCCGCCCACCATCCTCACGTGGTTCACTCAACTGATAAGACTTTTGCAGTCAATAAAAGGTTTGAAGATTACAGGACCCAGGCCTTGTCTCTGGTTGGGGAATGGATGTGAATCCAGGACAATGTCCTTTTCTCCTGCCCCGGGCCAACTTCTGGTGGGGGTTGGGTCCTGTTCCCAAAGGCAGCTGTGGAGGAGGGAGGAAGGAAGGGGCTTGGCCGTGGTCTGGGCAGTGGTGCCAACATTGAGATGGGTGCGCAGGCAGAGGAGCCAGGCTAGGCAGAGGTGGGGACAGTGGGGGGCATCCTGAGGGTAGGGTCCATCGAGGACAGGCCCCGGGTTTTGCTGAGGTCGCCCTGGAGGAGAGTGGCGCCTACGGGCTGATCCTGAACCATTGGAAATGTCAACTGCCGGGCCGGCCTGTGGCTCACTTGGGAGAGCATGGTGCTGACAACACCAAGGGTTAAGATCCCCTTACCGGTCATCTTTTTTTTAAAAAAAAGATGACCGGAGGGCCGGCCCGTGGCTCACTCGGGAGAGGGCGGGGCTGATAACACCAAGGCCATGGGGTCGGATCCCATATAGGGATGGCCGGTTTGCTCACTGGCTGAGCGTGGGGCTGACAACACCAAGCCACGGGTTGACATCCCCTTACCGGTCATCTTTTTTTTTTTTTTTAAAAGAGGCCCGGTAGGGGGATGTCACCCCTGGGCTTGGTGTTGTCAGCACCATGCTCTCCCAAGTGAGCCACAGGCCGGCCCAGCGGTTGACATTTCCTTTTTTTTAACAAAAAGATGACCGGAGGGCCGGCCCGTGGCTCACTCGGGAGAGGGCGGGGCTGATAACACCAAGGCCATGGGGTCGGATCCCATATAGGGATGGCCGGTTTGCTCACTGGCTGAGCGTGGGGCTGACAACACCAAGCCACGGGTTGACATCCCCTTACCGGTCATCTTTTTTTTTTTTTTTAAAAGAGGCCCGGTAGGGGGATGTCACCCCTGGGCTTGGTGTTGTCAGCCCCACGCTCAGCCAGTGAGCAAACCGGCCATCCCTATATGGGATCCGACCCCATGGCCTTGGTGTTATCAGCCCCGCCCTCTCCCGAGTGAGCCACGGGCCGGCCCTCCGGTCATCTTTTTGTTAAAAAAAAGGAAATGTCAACCCCAATCATTGAAGCCGGGAGCTGCCTGGACCCATCGGAACCAGGAGGTGTGGGAGGAGTCAGCCTTGAGAGCAAGCAGAGGGTGTGGTTAGGATGGGACAGTTGACAAGAGGAGGGGTCTTGTGCAGAGGACGGGAAGCTGGTGAAGGGTGTCTGTTTCCTGCTTCTGTTCACAGGGCGATGTGCAGGCCTTCCTGCACTGTGGCACGAGCGGGGATGGCCTAGGTACAGAATGAGGGTGGTCATGAGAGCCAGCGCCTGGGGGCTCAAGTCCCTCTGTGCCCAGTGCTCTGCTGACTGCGTTTGCAGTGATAATGGAGTCGCCCCAGCCTCCCAAGTGGTCCAAGCTTTGTCCTTCACACCAGGACCCCTTGGCTGCTCTGCGTGGAGCCTCCTTGCAGTCTGCCTCCCTCTATCTGCCTCTCCTTCGATGCCCACTAGAGGGTGCCCATGCTCTTCCCCTCGGGCACACTGGGCAGAAATTACAGACCTCCCCTGCTGGCTCAGCCCGTCCCAGCCCAATGTGGGTACCCCAACCTCTGGCTCATTCTCCCCCACCCCTGGCACAGCACCCCAGATGCCTTGGCCCTGCCTGGAGCAAGGGGCACCTGGACCTGGTCACCTTGATGCACACCCCCCATGGGACAGGGTGGCTGGCATTTCATGCCCATTCCCAGCTCCAAAACCCTTGGCACAGGCCTTTCTCCAGACTCCTCTCTAGTCCACAGGCTCAGACATAGCTGAGCCTGGATGCCTGGCCCATTGTTCTGCAAGCAGCCATCCGTGTCTCTAAGGAGGAGCGCAGGCCGGCTCCAGTGTCCATCAACACCACCAGTGCCCTGCACTTGGCAAGTGTGACCTGGGCACCCAGCGTGTGTGGCCACATATCCTCCCACCTGGAATGTAGCCAGAAAGCATAGGGTGTGCTCCCCAACCCCAGGCAGAGTGGAGGTTCAGGCAGGTCCTGAGCTGCTCAGGGGACTTCTGCTCAGGGGAGGGGCTGGGACGGCTCCCTTCTCATCCAATTCAGTACTGCCTGGCGGGGAGGTCATTCTGGGGAGAACTCAGTCTTCCCTGAGCAGCCCGTCCTCTCGCTGCTGGCTCCAGTGCTGGAGGGTGCTGTGGTTGGAATTGCCGCCAAGCTCATGTTGGAACTTAATCCTCAAGATGGCGATGGATGGTGGGGCCTTTAAGAGGTGATTGGATCATGAGAACTGTGCCCTTGTGAGTGGATTGATCCATTCTTGGAGTAGTGGGTTGATGGGTTAATGGTGGCCACGGGCGTGGCTCTGATGGCTTTCTAAGGAGAGCGAGTGAGCAGGTTAGCTCTGTTGCTCCTGCCATACCTCGCTATGTGATACCCTGGTGACCACGGGACTGTGTACAGAGCCCCCTCCAAGAAGAAAGCCCTCACCAGATGCACCCCCTCGATCATGGACTTCCAGCCTCTGAAACCATAAGAAACAAATTTCATTTCTTTATAAATTACCCAGTTTCAGGTGTCATGTTATAAGCAACAGGTAGTGCACTAATACAGAGGGAAGCCCCTGCTGCCTGCTGGGAGGTGGGAGGCTGCTGGGGCATCGCTGGGCCCCTCCCTTGGGAGCCTCTGGTGGAAATTACGTCTGCAGGAGCCGTGCGGAGCGCCTTCCCCAGACCTGGCCTGGGCTGGGCTGGGCTGGGCTGGGTAGGCCCCGCCCGGGCCGGCGCGGGGGTGTCCTCGAGGGAGGAGCAGCCCTGGCTCCGCCTGGGATGGCAGCTCCCCGCAGGTCTGGCCAGTGCAGGGCCCGCCCCATTTCCTGTGGGCGGCGGATGACGTGCGGCTGTGTTTGTTTTCAAGCGGTTGTTATGGAAACGGGAAGGGTGTTGTTACTGTTTGTCTTGGCCGCGTCGCTGGGCGGCGCCGCTGGGGTGGCCCAGGCCCACTGCACTGCCAGGGCTCCCTCAGTGGCACTGGCTCCAGGAAGCTCCCCCCATCGCCTGCAAGCCAGGTGCTTCCTCAGGCACCCACAGACCTGGATGGCCCCGCGATAGGAGGCGGGAACGGGCGCCTTTGTCCCTGGGGTGCCGCCTTCTCCAGCCTCCTTGGGAGGCTGCTCCGACCTGGGCCTCCACCCTCACCCCCCTGACCCATGCCCAGCCAGTGAGGCGGCTCTGAAATGCCATCTGACCACCTCTCTCCCCATCAGAACCTGGGAACCAAGTCCAGGGAGCCACAAGCCCTTGTGACCCGGCCAGACCAGCCTCACACCCCAGGGCGCTCTGCCAGGCCGAGCCGTGCCCCGCCTCCGCAGGGCCAATCTTCCCATGCTTCTCCGGAGGGTTCCTCCCAGCCTCTCACCTGGGCCCCAGGGTCCTCGCTGGTGCTCCCCTCTGGGCATCTCTGTGGGGCTGCTCAGCCTGCGGCTCCCTCTGTCCCCACTTCCTGGGATCCCAGATCCTCCCACCCACACCCAAGACCCCCACTGCCCTTTCTCTGGGCCCTGCTCAGCGTCTCCTGGGTCAGTGACCCCAGCATCAGCCCTAGGCACTCCCGCCCCGCCAGCTGAAGCCTTCCCCAGCTCCTGGCTCTCTTTGGACCCCACCCAGCTCAGGCTAGCTTCCCTGAACCTCTGGAGGGGTGAGGTTATGACAGTGCCCCTACTCTGGGCTGTTGGAGGCTGGGCACAGGCCAGGACTGGCTGGAGACCAGGATGACCAGGTGTGGGCAGCACTTTTTCCCAGGGCTGGCTGGCTGCAGGGGGTGGGGGACTCAGGCCCACAGGCAGGGCCCCAGCTGCCCGGATGGTAAGCTGGAATTCAAGGCAGTGCTGCCTGGGTTTTGGCTCCAGAACACAGAGACTGGGCACCAGGCCCAGCCTCAAGGGAGGGGGTGGGGGCAGGGGCACCCCATCTGGCCAACTGTGGAACCCAGGCAGGGCAGGCACCCCCGTGGGGGTCAAGGCAGGCTGAAGGAGCCCCCCTCTCCTCCACACCACCCCGTTGCCTGCTGTTGCTGCTTCCGGGAAAGGAGGAAACCGAGCAGCCCTCCCACCTGGGCCAGAGGACAGGAGGGGCCTCTCTGGGGAAGCACAGGCGGAGTCCCTCCCCCACCTCAGGGCCCAGCAGGCCCACCCTGGGGCCAGTCTGCAGGCCAGACAGGGGGTCCCAGGAGACAAGCTGCTGAAAATAGACCCTGGGAACTTGTGAGTGCCAGTGACTCAGCGGGCTGAGGGCGAGGGGCCGTGAGGGCTGGACCCTGGAGAGGCCAGAGCTGGGTCTGAGCAGGACTCAGCCTGTCTTCCTGGAGCGCATGTTGGCAGCACAGGGCACCTGAGTGCAGAGAGCACGGGGCAGGCCTTGCTGGCGTCCAGCCCTAGGAGGGAACATCTTTATGCCTGTCCACACCCTTAGTTTATGCACACTGAGGAGGGGCCTAAAGGCTGAGCACTGGGTGAGGGCTTCAAGGACAGGGGAGGCCTCAGGCAAGTGCCACAGTCTGCAGAGGGAGGGGGTTGTGGGAGGGGGAGCCCCGGGGAGGAGCAGAACTTTCCTGGTGGGGGTGGATGGTAGGATTCCTCAGTGGTCAGCGGTCAGCGGAGCCCAGCTTTGCCTTCTCTGGTTATCCTGGCACCTGGAGCCCAAGTCTGGCTGCAGGGTGCTGCATCCAGGCCTCTCCAGACTTCTCCTCGAGGGCAGCCAAGCATGGGCAGAGCAGGAGCAGGCTGAGGGCATAGGGGTGTGTGCAGAGGGAAGGCTGGGCAGGTGGAGGAGGCCTCAGCTGGTGGGCCCGGAACCCTGCAGTGGCCTCCACTGCCTCACTGTCCTGGTGCAGGCAGAACGTTCTGGGCACCAGGCAGCTCAGGGCAAGCAGCTGGAGAGCTCGGTGTTCCTGTGCTGGCCTTCCCCCTGTCCATTTGTTTAAGCAACAAGCGCCAACCACACCCAGCAGAGTGGGTAAGAGGCAGAGGGGCTTGGTATCGAACTGGCCCCATGATCCTGAGCCAAGCCAACCCCAGGGGCCAGGTCAGTGCCCCTCCCCACAGTTGCATCCTGGGCTTGGACCAGGTGAGCTGATGGAGGTCAGAGGCCCTGCACCTGGGTGGGGCTGGGGTCTCCAGGAGTCCAGCTAGGCCCTGACTGGTGCCCAGCTAAGCCTCAGATGGGGGGCGGGCGGGCCTGGACATGAGGTCTGGATGGAGGGAGAAGCTGGCAGCTGGGGGCTGCAGCTGATGAGGGCGTCCCACCCCATGGGTGGGCAGCATGGGTGAGATGCGCGGGAGAAAGGATTTGAGGCCACATCAGTCTGTGGCTGAAGTTCTGGAAGGGTTCCAGGAATTGTGTGTGTGTCTTGTGCATGTGTGTGCGTGTGTCTGAGTGTGTGTGTCTCTGTGAATGGGTCTGTGTCCATGTTTGTCACTGAGTGTGGTTGTTATGTGTGTCAGTTGAGTGTGTGTGTGTCTAAGCTGCATGTCTGGAAAAACTGCTGCCTACCAACTCAGAGGGCGTGGACCCATGGCCCTTGGTCCCCCTTGGCATTCCCCCCACCGCCCCCGTTGCCTTGGCAGCAGGAAGCAACAGCAGGGAAGGCCAGGGAGGGACTTCATCACCCTGGTTTTCAAGGGGGGGCCTCCCCGCTGGACAGGGTGGGGTTGAAGTCCAGAGTGTGGGGAAGGAGCCATCCCTAGAGTGGGGTGGGTGGAGAGGAGGACAAGGACCAGGTCATTGCTCCCATCTACGACAGCAAATGTCCCTGCTGTGACAGCAGCAAAGCCCAGGAGCCCTGGGGTGGGTGGGTGGGGGGCCAGACAGAGACATGGGCAGACCTGTGCTCTGAGAGAGACCACATATGCACATGTGCACATGAACCTGAGACAGCCTGGATAGACACACCCACGTGGTTATGCCTGCAGACACCCAGACTCACACGTACACGTCCGGGCACCCCAGAATACACCATCCTGGTGGAGGTGGAGGCAGTGCCGGGTCCCCCCTCGCCACCCCTGCCTCCACCCAGCACACACACCTGGTGGGGCAGCTCGTGCCCTTCTTGCTAAACAGCAAGGTGGTGTGTGGGCGCGTGTGGCCTGGCCCGGGGAAATGCAGCCACAGAGACCCCTCCCCAGAAGTGTGCTGGGCCCTCTCTGGCTGCTCCTGTCACTGGTGCTGGCCTTCTCCTCCCGTGTGTGCTGCCTTTGCCTCCCTCTGTGCCTGTCTGTGCACTTCTGTGTCCCTGGCTGTGTCTGTCCCTGCGTCCTCTTCTGTCTCTCGCACTCTCTCTCATCCCACTCATCCCAGCTGCTCTCCGGACCACGGAGCCAGGAGATGAGGGAAGGCGGGAACCGCCCTCCTGTTCCTGGCTCGCCCGGCCATATGGGGCCCAGGCCGAGGAGACGCCAAGGGATGGGTGGGGGCCTTAACTCCAGAAGCCACATCTTGGTGCCCCTGTGCCGGGCAGAGAGGGCAGGTGTACCCAGACATAAGACTGGGTCTCAAGGCTGTCCAGGTTGGACACTGGGGATTCCACCGTTGCAGGGCATGTGGGCACCCCCATTCTAGAAGCCCCAGCCAATGAGGGGTTTCAGAAGAGGGTGGGAGGGCTGCGATGTGCTCTCGCAGAATGTCCCTGCAGACCCTGGGACTTGCAGAGCCCCACTGGGGGGAGGAACTGTGGCCTCAGCACTGTGGCCTCCTCCAGGGAGGAGGGTGGTGACTGGAGAGAGGTGTGGGGGCCAGGATGTGGCCTTGGGCTGGATGTGTGGATGTGGGGACTCTCTGGAGTGTGGCCTCTGTGCTGGGCACATGGTGCCTCGGTCCTCCTAAAACCCTGGGAGCTCCTACCCTCACCTCAAGCTGGGGCCTAGTCAGGGGGCACATGGGTCAGGGGTCTTGAGAGGGAGGAGCCACGGCTTCCCTTCCCTCCCTTGGTGCCAGCCCTGAGGTGGGGACGTGGGCTTTAGGAAGGGAAGGTGAGGCCAGAGGTGCGGTCAGGGCCAAACACCTGCCAGGGGGAGGCCAGGGGCTCGTGGGGCCCTGGAGGAGGATGGTCTCCAGCACCCTTTGCAGGGTTGGGGCATGGACAGGTCCAGAGATGACGTTTTGTTTTTCGAGATGGGTGTGTTGAGGGGAGATGAGGACACTGGTAACGGGGTGGCTGGAGGAAGGGAGCGTGGGCCTGGGAGGAGGGACAGCAAAGCCATGTGCTGGGGGAGGGTGGGAGGCAGACCATGGAGCACCACAGAGCAGGAGGCGAAGGGGTGACCGAGAAGGGGGACACTCACTCCACGCAGCGGACATAGGGAGAGAGAGGGGTGGCCTGGCTGACAATGATCAGGAGCACAGGAGTGTTAGGCAAGGACAGTGCTCCATGACAAGGAGGGATAAGGAAGCTGGGACTCACCCAGGCTGAGGCCTGGGCAGAAAGACAGACGGGAGGCCCTGCCAGCCCATGCTCCCGAGGCTGCAGGCAGAAGACGAGCCTGTGGTCTCTGCGGGCCACTGCCAGCCCACCAGCCTTCGTTCTGTGGCCGGGTGGGGCGGGCCGGCCGGTCTCCTCCTGGCACCGGGGAGGCGCAGGGCCAGCGTCCGCCTTACCTGGGCGGCGGACTTGGACCGCTCGGGCCTGCTCAGGCGCTGCCCGCGGAGATAAGGACCCCTCCCCCGGCCTGGGCTCGGGCATCTCCAGGACGGCCTGGGTGTGGCCGCTCCTTCCTCCTCCCGACCCAGTCCCCCAGCCATGGCAGCCGATCGGTCCCCAAGCTGAAGTTCCGTTGTCCCTCCGGAGGGAGGGGGCTCCCCTGGCTCGGAGTCCCCTCTTCCAAATTCCCCGGGGACGTTCCCACTGCGGGTCGCTGGAATTCCCAGAGAGCGGCACGGACTGGGGGAGCTGGCAGAGGCCTGGACGTCCCGCGGGGGTGCGGGGGCTGGGAGTGCGGGTTACCAGGCTGCAACTCTCCCGGCGTGTGTCTCCAACCCTCTATTTGGGGAAAGTCAGGGTCAAAGTGTGCGGAGAGAAAGTTCTTGCACACTAATTTGCATCTGTTTGCATTTTAGAGGTGACTCGTCCCCTCCCTGGCCCCGGCAGAATTTAGGATTCCAGCAGGTGCCGGCGGTATGGCGCTGGGGGGTGGGGCGCGCCTTGCCGCTCCGGGGGAGCCCCTTGCCCCAGACCCTGGACCGGGGCGACTTCAGCGCCCTGGGCGAGGGCGGTGCTTGGACTCTCGGGAGGATCCCCGCCCCCGCAGCGAGTCTCCGGGGACCCCGTGCGCCCCCCGCGCCCGCGGATCGGTCCTCGGCCAGGCCCGAGTCACGCCCAGAAGAGGGGGTGGAACAGATGACTTTTCTTGGCCGGTCGGCCTGGATCCGAGGTCCCGGGGGTCCAAGTCCCCGACTCAGGGGGCGGGGCGCGACGGGCGGGGCTTCAGAGGGGCGGGGTCCCGGGGTTCCTGAAAGGCGCGGACCCGC